TTGAATTCATGGCCCTTTGATAAGTTGCCCCTACATTCTTCAAACCAAAAGGCATAACCGTCCACTCGTAAATACCTAAAGCTCCTGGACATTTGAATGCTATCTTATGAATATCTTCTTCTGCCAAAAAGATTTGGTTATATCCTGCATAACCATCCATCAAACTGAGAATTTTATGTCCTTCTGCTGAATCAATTAACATGTCAGCCATAGACATCACATATTCATCTTTAGGAGTGGTCATATTAAGATCCTTGAAATCAATACATATCCTGATCTTACCATTCTTTTTAACCACTAGTACAATATTCGCCAACCAATCTGCATAACGGCAAGGCCGGATGAAACCTACTTTAAGAAGTTTCTGAATTTCCTCTTTGATTTGAGACATCAAATCAGGGCTCATAGGCCTTGGAGGTTGCTTGTAGGGCTTAAAACCTTTTCTAATAGGCAACCGATGCTCTATCAGACTTCGCTCTAGACCAGGCATTTCTGAATAATCCCAAGCTAAACAATCAATATTGTTTTTTATAACCTCAATCATCAATATTTGTTGCTCTTCAGACAAATAACCACTCATCCTGATTATTTTTGGAACCAGGTCGGTTCCTAAATTAAATTCCAATAAAGGATCTTGTGCTGAAAAAGCTAGTTCTGTCTTCTCTAATAAATCAGGCCAACGAAATTGTTCATCTTCTTGGAAATGAGCATCATGAATCTTTTTGATTTTTTCTACTTTTCCCAAAAGCTGATCTAAATAAAATTGATTAATAAGTAAACTACAATCTTCTAAATTTGCACCTTCCATAAAAGATATATTATAAAGTAGGTCTGGCTTCCTCATGAGCCATACAATAACATTGTTCTTTTTAAAAGAACATTGAATTTTGGCTGATGAATTTAAAACCCTTCTTTGGTATTCACTAGCCATAAACAACTGAGACATTGGGGGTAAATGACTGGAATAAAAAATTGATTCTTCAACTTATTCTGATGCACCGAAAGGGTTGTCATTTGCTTCCATTTTGAAGACTTGATTGTCTTCCCAGAACATTAATCGTTGATGCAGTGTCGATGGTACACATTGAGATGCATGAATCCAGTCTCGTCCAAGTAGGATTGGATATGTAGTATCCGCATCCACCACAAAGAAAACAGAAGAAATCCTTTTAGGACCGACTTCAATTGTAGCGACCATCATACCTTCTGGTTTGGTCGGCTGCCCTGTAAAACTGGTCATCTTAAAATCTACTGGAGACAAATCGTGAATTCCTTTCCTTAACTTCTTAAGAGTCTTTAATGGCATCACATTGAAGACGGCTCCGTTGTCTATAAAAACCTTCGTGATTGGTTTCCCGCAAATATAAGCATTAACATACAGAGGCTTTAAATGAGACGTCGTGCCTTCTGGAATAGGAGGGAAGACTATCAAAGGAACCTCTTATTGAAAATCAGGATCTGAAATCTTTGCCCATTCTGGCTCTTCTATAATATCATCCACCAGAGATGCCCACAGGGGTTCCTCTTCAATCCAATTAATTCATGTCATTCGGCAAAGAACTCGTGGCCCTAGCCGAGATTTGACGGACCTTGAATCTGTTTCCAGAATTTCGTTTCTGGTTTCATTTTCAGGTTGAGCTGTCAGAGATTCCAAACAAAATTCCTCAAAAGATAGATTGATGTTAGTCCGTTCACAATACTGACATCTGAAACCTTCAATTCTCTCATCTGCTACTCCTTTACCCTTCTTCTGTATGGACCGACCCCTTTCAGAGTACTCAGAGACACCTTACACATACTTCGGCTGCCTTGATGAGGAGACGATTATGGACCGACCTCCCTCTGGATAATCAGCAGCGCCTCGTATATCATTCGGCTGTTTTGATGAGGCGACCCATATGGACTGACCTCTTTCCGGATAATCGGTAGCAACTGGTACATCATTCGGCTGCTCAAATGAGACGACCCTTATGGACCGACCTCCTCCCAGAGAATCAACAGCGCCTGGCATATCATTCGGCTGCTTTGATGAAGAGACCTTATCCCTATACCTCACAGCATACCTGCGCTTGGCATTACGAATTTGAGTACGATTCATACCCGGAAAACGAGGATCCACATCAACTGGTAAAGGTTTTTTATTTCGAGCCAACTTGCTCCCGACCAAGCCAGTCCTTCTAGTCGGGTGGTCTCGGACCAAAACTTGTTCCTTTAATTCCATATTAAAAGAACCATCTTAATTATCCCATTTCTCGGCCACTGGTTTTTCATAAACCTTGAGTTTCTCTTCTGGTCGGCCACTGTTTGATGGGTTTCCTTTTTTTGATCTGGGACTTGCTTGTATATTAACCATTGCTGTGGTTACTTTTAGAAAAGGTTGTTGCTCTACACCGAAAGTGATATATTTGAGCCGACCTGCCTGAATGGCCTTTTGGATCTCATTTCGAAAATGGGTGCATTGACTTGTATTGTGTGTGAAAGAGTTATGCCACTTACAATATGGTCTTCCTTTGATTTCTTCCTTAGTAGCCAACCTTTGCCCTTTTGGAATTCGAATATGGCCATCAGTTAGCAAAATATCAAAAATTTCATCAACCTTTGAATTTTAAATGTGGGTTGCTCTCTTCCTTCAGTTCCTGGCACTGGCTTTAATTTAGAGCACACATAAGGCTTTCCTAAAATGATTTTGGCCGCCATTTCTTCTGTCTGATCAAAATCAAAGTCGTATGCTTCTGTTTCCATACTCTCCATATGTTGAACTTTATTGCGCCTGAAATTCTGATCATTTTCTCTGAAAAGAGACTCTAAACATCCAGCCTTGGCAGCGAGACTTGCCAAATCTTCCACATCATGAGCAGTGAGTGCCTCTCTTAGACGGCCATGCATATATCTGACCACTAAATTGGTCATTTTTTTTTCATTGATTACAATAGGACAACGTCCTTTCATCAATCGCACCCTTTCAATAAACTGTGAGGCTGACTCTTCTGGATATTGCTTCAATTCCAACAAATCGGTAAGAGAAACAATCGGTAAAGGATTGAAGAATCTAGCATGGAACGCCATTTCCAAACCTTCCCAAGTTTGTATTTGCCCAGGCGGCAGATTTACAAACCGTGAAAAAGCTGTTCTGGTAAGAGATAATTCAAATAATTGCAGTTTATAAAAAAGATTATTTCTAACTTCCCCCAACTGTGCTATAAAACGACCCACATGCTCTATGGTGGAGGATCCGTCTTCCCTTGAAAAAGCATGGAAATCAAGTGGTCGATAATTCCTTGGAAGAGGATAGTCGTTAATGATCCTTTCAGAAAAAGGTCTTTGATAAGCAGGACGGTTGGCCATCTGAGGATTCAAACCGAAATGAACCCTCAACACTTGCGCAATCTCTTCAGGATCCACACGAGGGTTTTAATGATCAGAGATAAGGATGGGATCCTGTATATGTGCTCCTTGCATCTTCCCTGACAGTATTTGGCTGCACATTTTCAACTCTTGGCCCCAAAGGAACATTATTAGGGAAAGTTAGAGGAGTCTTTCCCCTATCTGTTGGGTTGAGCGTTGTGGCACTTGGCAATGTACTGTCAACGTATGATGGCCCTGCGAAATTTGCTTGCATTCTTGATGGTGATATTCCTGGTGGCGTCTGAGTGGGTTGAAGAGTAACCTTTGATAAAGCTTGATCTAACATGTTCTGCATGAGATTCTGTTGCTCGCGCAACATGTTCTGCATAGCCAAAGTTTGTTAATTGTTCAATTGTTGAACATAATACAACCAATCGGTAGGTGGTTGGGGAATCTCCCCTGGATTTGGCATAACAGGTGGTGATATATTTACTCCCACTGGTGCTGATGATGATTGAGGTTGTGAGCCTGCCATATTGATCTTTCTGATGATTAGACCGGACCTCAGTCGTAGGATCAGCAATCTTGCTTTTCTTCCACTGTGGTCGCCAATTTGTTGATGCAATTTTTCAACAATAAAAAGTAAAATCCGAAAATAGAAAATTATCTTCGAATTTGATATATTTAGTGCCTGAGATTAGGAATTTCTAAACACTATACGGTACATACGTAAAACTGGAAAATAAATGCTACAGACTGAAAATTAAATGATGATCCCCGAATCACTGACTTTACTGTGGTTTGAAGATGATTGAAGATACCCTGCCAGTTGCTGACCCCAATCCTTAAATATTCCTCAGAAACAGTACCTGGAACCGTCGCCCGAACGGTTACAACGCCTCCTCTCAACCGTCTACTAATTCTTCTTTTGCTGACACGTGTTCTCAACCGTCTTACCAACCGCGTCATCCAACCGACTAAACTACGGCTCTCACTCGATCTCCGCAGCATCCGACCTCCACAGCAGCCGATTTGCTCATCCAACTGCGGATCAACCGACCTGCCTGTCCGACCGCAGACCAATCGACTTGTCTGTCCGACCACGGACCTTCCGACCTGTTCGTCCGACCACGGACCTTCCGACTTGCTTATCCGTCTGCAGATCACCCGACCTGTCTGTCCGACCGCGGACCTTCCGACTTACTTATCCGACCGCGAACCAACCGACCTGTCCGACCGCAGACCTTCCGACTTACTTATCCGACCGCGAACCAACCGACCTGTGGACTATCCGACTTGCAGACCATCCGACTTGCGGACTGTCCGACCTGTGGACTATCCGACCTGTGGACTGTCCGACTTGCAGACCATCCGACTTGCGGACCATTCGACCTACGGACCATCCGACTTGCCTATTTCCTTAGAAGAACGTCCGGTTCAACCGATTATCTTGAAACACCCCTTAATTAATCTAGCGGACCCTATTACAGGCCCACATCTCCTTCTAGCTTGGCCTTTTAACCTAATTATAAAATTCATACGGAACTGAAGCCAAATTTCCAAGCATTGATAATTCAAACATAAAAACGAAGTAAGAATTGTATAAAGAACTAAGGCATTCTCCATTTAAATAGAAACAGGGATAAACATATTACCTTAGCCTCTAAATGCAAACTTATATCCGAGTCCTTCAGGCAAGCTTGTATAGGAGAGACATGGCAGCCTATTCTCAAAGGCGAGCTAACACTGCCACATTTTGACGAAAGTTTGCGAAACGGTGCCCAGTAATTACTATACGGAGTTGTCATCTATTATTCACCCAATTGAAAACAATGAATATTCAGAAATGAAAATAGGAAAAATCCTCCCCAATGGCATCAGCAGCGACAAAAAAAAAAAAAACTTATAACAATAGTGCGAAATCAATATATAGGATTTGCAGAGATTGCCAGTAAATTTGCATAATTACATTAGAAAATTAGAATAATGGAAACCTTAATTCCGCAACATCATTAACAACTCATGGCTCGGGCAAACTATCTAAGAAGTACCAAAATCAAAAGGAAAGCTAAATTACGATTCAAGACTATGAATTACATGTTCGTTGGCTAGCTCATTCACTTCAAGATCAACGATTGCACTCGTCGTCACATATTAAAGAGAAAAGAAGAAGAAGAAGAAGGAATAAAGGAAATTGGGCAAGAAGAAGAAGAAGAAATAGGAAATCTTTTGCGGGCGGCGGCGAATGTGAAGTGTGGAATGTGGATGTGTAAATATTTTAATGAACAAAATAAAAAAAACTCGGTAGAGTTTCATTAATAAAAAAATATATATTATTTTATATTCCATTATAAAAATTTTAATCATTTATTTTATCTTAATTAGCAGTAAATTACTTATTAATAATAAATTATAATATTATTTTATTATTTTTATAGGAATAATATTGTTATTATTTTAAATATTTTTAAAATTATATTTTAATAAAATATATAATATAAATGTTATTTCATATATAATAAAATTTAATATAATACAAATAAATAAAAAAATATATTTATTTATTTATAATTAATTTAAAATTAAAAATTTTATAAAAAATTAAAAAGTTTTAAATGCAAGATAAAAATATTTCTAAATTGAAGAGATATAAGGATAAGGGAATTTTGAACAACGACCGTATGAAATTTAATTAAATTGATTTATATTTGTCAAGTATGTTTAATACGAATAAATTTACTAAAAATAGAACGGGTCAGATGGTTCCTCCTCGAACACCTTCGTCGGCCTAGCAATTCTTCGACTTCCTCGAGAACTAGTTAGTACAGCCTCGCACAGATGTATTCTTCCTTGTCATGCCCTCAACATGCTCCTCTATGAAGAACTGCTCACACGTCCGTTTTGTTCGTCACCACCATCAAAGTCGGCGCTGATACCATTTGTAACGTGCCAGAAGCTGACATGTTCGGCGCCCAAGCCCAAAGGCCCAAGCCATCCGTCCCACTCTGGTCCTGTATAGTTAATCAACGGCGTATGTTCTAGTGTAGGTACGCATCCCGCCTTATATATCCCGCATTATATGGTATACTCAAGCTTGTTGCGCACAAAGGACGGCTGACTTGGACCTTTAGGCCTGGGCGCCGAGCGTGTCAGCTTCTCGCATGTTACAAATCATCTTTGATGGCCAGACAAAAAAATGGATCATTTGTTGTGAAAGAGGGAGTATTTTATTTAATTAATAATATTTAAAGTTTTAAAGTAAAGAACAAGTATCAACTTCCAAGGATCAAAGGCTTGTTCGATCAATTGAAAGGGGCACAAGTTTTCTCAAAGGTGGACTTGAGATCAGAGTATCATCAGATTCGTGTGAAGGAAAGTAATATCCTAAATATGGCTTTTCGAACACTATATGGACACTATGGATTCACCGTGATGCCGTTTGGACTCACGAATCCCCCAGTTATGTTTATGGATTTGATGCAAAGGGTCTTTGGGCAATGGCTGGATAAGTTTATTGTTGTATTTATCGATGATATCTTGATATATTCGAAGGATCCTGATGCACAAGACTTAGGAATGGTATTGGAGAAGCTTCGAGAAAAGAAGCTATACGTGAAATTTTTGAAATGTAAGTTCTGGTTTTCACTGTGCACTTCCTTGGAAACGCCATATCTGTTGAAAAGATCACAATGGATGCCTCAAAGATCGAGGCAGTATCCAATTGGAAGGCTCCGTCCAACGTATGGAAAGTTAGAAGCTTTTGGGTTTGGCAGGTTATTACCGATGAATAATTAAGAACTTTGCAAAGATAGCTTGACCATTGAAAATTTTGACAAAGAAAATAGTGAAGTTCGAGTGGAATGATAAATGTGCAGCAACATTCTCGGAATTAAAGTAAAGATTGACTTGTGCACCCATGTTGGCATTGCCCCAGGATAGGGAAGATTATGATATTTTCACTGATGCTTCACTTAATGGTTTAGGTTATTGATACGACCCGACCGTGTATAATTATGCCCAAAATAATTTCCTTAGCAACAAAGTTCAATAAAGAACCAATGGTTCAGAATATGGGTGAAAGAAGGGAGAATAAATAAAAAATGATAGTGCAGATAATGTGAATTAACATGGATGATAACCAACCACGAGAATATGTCTCGGATCTGAAATCAAAACTATAGTTAAAACACAAACAATAGGCTAAATCCCATGGCAAATGATTGGAATTCACGAACCGATGAAATCACTCTAAAGACCCGATTTGACATATCTAAGTGGGAGAAAATCACATTCTAGCACTAAACAAATATTGAGAGGGAACAATAAAGAAATTTTATTCAAAATTCACTATACTCTATTACAATAATGGGCAATGACCTTATATAGAGGTTTTTAAGAAAAATAAAAGATAACAAATAATAAAAGAAACAAACCAAAAGGTAAGTCTAACTATAAGGAAACAAATAATAAGGAAAGTTCTAGATAGGGAATTATACTATATAGGAACTTATAATAAAAGGTAATATATAATAAGGTAACTTTGAGATTCTTTCATAATTATTTATTGTCTTAGTCTTGAAGTCCCGGTTTTTGTGATCTTGGCCTCGGGATTACTCGCTAGGTGACATTTGAGTTGGATACAAGAAAATGTATTGTCTAGCAAGTCCATCTTCAATTTTTTTGAGCTTGGACGGCCGCGCCATTCCCCTCTTCTTGAAAATTACTCTTGTTCTCCCGAACATGATATTCCTCGACTCTACAGCTCACAAAAAAACTCAATCTTCCCAAAGACAATAGCGAGAAAAAATCTAAAACAAAGTAGAGAGAGAAAATATTGTAGAGAACGAGATAGTTGACAAATACCACAAATTAATTTTTTTTTTCTTTTTTTCTAAACAAAATCGACTAAGGATAACTCAAGTTTATAGAAAACTTGAGCACAAGGCTCTGATACCAAATGACATTGCTCGAACGTGTCTAAGTATGCTCAAAATAATTTTCTTAGCAACAAAGTTCAATAGAGAACCAATGGTTCAGAATATGGGTGAAAGAAAGGAGAATAAAGAAGAAATGATGGTGTAGAGAATGTGAATGAACGGGGATGATAACCAACCATAAGAATAAGTCTCGGAATAAAATCAAAACCATAGTTAAAACACAAACAATATTCGAAAAGAAATGTGCACATTGTTGATATAAGAAGTCTATTCAATCCATTTAATTTATACTCAATCTTAGATGGCTAGCACCGGCTCATCTACGGGAGTTGGCCTAGCACCGGCCCAACTCCAGGGGTATTACATCCACGCCCACTTAAGAATGCAACGTCCCTGTTGCACCCAAGGATCATCAACTGCATGGCCCGTCACCAGTCCGATCAACGACTGCAGGCTGTCGTAGGTCAGCTCTGATACAAACTGTGACACCCCGGCCCGTAAGTCATGTGAAGTCGAGCATGTTGGAATTGTAGACTGGCCCTACAGGTCAACACGAGTCCTTCCAGCGCTTCTGTCCTCACTCATGCGCACCTTGAGAAACTATCCAAGGAGTCACCCATCCTCAAATTACTCTAGAGCAAACACACTTAACTATAGAGTTCTTTCAATAGTACTTCCGAAAAGAAATGCGCACATTGTTGACATGAGTAGTCTATTCAATCCATTTAACATATACTCAATCTTGATTGGCTTGGCACCGGCTCATCCACGGGAGTTGGTGACACAGCCTGACCGTGTATAATTATAACCAATATAATTTTCTTACTCACAAAGTTCAATATAACAAATGGATTAAGAATATGTATAAAGGAAAAGAGAAGGAAGAAGAAAAGATAGTGCGGAGAATGTATATTAGTATGGATGATAACCAACCACGAGAATAAGTCTCGGACCTGAAATCAATCCATAGGTAAAATACAAACAATAGGCTAAATCCCACTGCAAAAGATTGGAAGCCACGAACCAATAGAATCACTCAAAAGACCCGATTTGAGACTCTAAATGCGATGAAATCACTCCCTAACACTAGAAAATTATAAAAGTGAAATTCGATTCAAGATGTAAAAAGTTCCGATTACAATGATAGTCAAGGACTTATATAGAGGTCCTTGAGGAAAATAAAAGGCAACAAATAATAAATGAAACAAACCAAAAGATAAGTCTAACTATAAGGAAATAAATAATTATGAAAGTTTTAGATATGGAATTATACTATATGGAAACTTATAATAAAAGAAAATATATATTAAGGTAACTTCTAAAAGCCTCCACAAGTGATGATTCCCTTGATAATCTTCCATGATTAGTGATTCTCTCCATAAGTGATGATTCCCTTGATAATCTTTCATGATTAGCGATTCTCTCCATAAGTGATGATTCCGTTGATAATCTTCCATGATTAGCGATTCTCTTGATCTTTCAATTCCGATTCTTGCGGGTCCCATTGAATGAGTGTCATGTGAGAGCTAAGTAGTCTCCAAACATCATCCTTAAATTGATTCTCCATGAAAAATTGTTCGATCAATGCAGTGACGGATTTTTTAAACTAACGAGCTTGGCTTTGAGTGATGGGTCCCACGGGCATTTGAATGCTTGAAGATTGGACGTCCTTGCCATTCCTTTCTTCTTTAAAAACTTTCTTGTTCTCCCGAACAAGATATTCATCCGCTGCATCAAAAAGGCTTAAGTCAGAAACATTAGAAGTAGCATGAACTTGGTACTCACCTGGGAGTTCAAGTTTGTAGGCATTATCATTAATGCGTTCCAACACTCAAAAAGGCCCATCGCCACGGGGAGTAAGTTTTGACTTTCGCAATTGTGGAAATCTTTCCTTCCTTAAGTGTAGCCAAACCCAATCTCCTATCTCGAATACAACTTTCTTATGCCCAAGGTTAACTTGTTTTGCGTAATTGTCAGCTGCCTTTCGTACGTTATCCCGAACTTGAGAATGAAGTTGTTAGACAAATTCAGCTTTTTTTCTGCCATCAAAACTAATGTGCTCATTGCGTGGCAATGTCATAAGATCAAGAGGAGTTAATGGGTTAAAACCGTAAACAACCTCAAATTGAGTATAGTTATGAATCGTACGGTTATATGCAAATTCAGCATAAGCTAAACATTCTTCTCGACTCTTCAAATTCTCATTAACTAAGGCACGTAACAAGCTACCCGCAATTCGATTAACAACTTCTGTTTGACCATTAGTTTGTGGGTGGTGTGATGTGGAAAATGTTAATTTTGTACCTAATTTAGCCG